ATTGTGGGGCTAGAATCCACGTTTCGTATTCTAACATTACTCCATGAGATTTAAAAGTACATGTATAGCTAATTGCATAATCAATTATTGAGTTCAATTGTCCAAACACTTGAAATGTCATAACACCTTTGGTAAGAATCTGGATTTTGTTAATTTTACAATAGTTTTTTATTTGACAAACTTTTATTAAATTTAAAAATGGAATATTCTTATTAGTTATGTCAACAACCAATAATTATTTTAGTACTATCTCATCGCTTTATATTTCAGTAGGCGAAGCCATAAATAAATAAATCGACTACATAAAGCAAATATGTAATACATGTTCCACCATGTTATCTGTAGTCAATGAGGTTTCAGGTGCGCTTCACTTCTATGAATACAGAATGAATAATCGTCTGACTCTGTTGATAGTATTCAGATCTCTTGCCGTGTATTCACTGTAATTTGTATGTCATGGACTCATATACAAGCTTGTTAATGTGAACAAACTATCTCTATGAATAATGTTTAAATGATATCGGCCAACAGAAATGTGAGTCATTAAGTTAAAAGGTGTACAGCAAAAGCTGACTATCGTTTTTAATTTATCCCTCATATGAAGTTTAGAGAAAGAATTGATTTCGTTAAGATTTCAAAGTTCAAGTTCTGGGTACAATTGTCCGTTTCAGGTCTCTTTGAACCTAATCTTTTTCGAAGTTGTCTGTGTGTGAATGTGTACAAAGCTACTGTCTACACCATCGATGTATACAGGTTAATACAGGAAACCATTATCTTATTCAACCTGGAGAAGGTATGCAGCATTCTACATGCGAGTTTAAATTCATCAGTAAAGGCTTTAATGTGCCAAACAGTTGAATTGAAATTTAACTATTTCAAGTAAATCATCAATAGGAAATCCAAAGCTATCCCAGGTTTTTGAAATGGTATACGCTGCTGTTGGTGTAACGGCTTCAATGGAGCAAATGTCTCCATTGCCAACTATTGCCGACTTAGGGCTTCCCTTAGTTGAATATGTTAAGATACATTTCATTGGAATCGAAGTGTATTATGGACCTCTCCGCACGCAGATCCATGCATAACAGATGACTCAGTTCAGTATTGTCATCTCAATTCCGTGATTGGATATTATACATGTACTGTTGTGGAGATGTTAAAGTATATTAATACAAAGAATGTTCAACATTTTATGAAAAGTCTAATTTACTTTCTTTTTTACTTTCTCTTCCCAAACATAGTATACTGCATAAAGAAAGTATTGTTTTCGTCTAAAATTCGTTTTTGAGTTTACGTAAAAAAATACGTTTCGGCGGTTCTCGAAGTAATGTATCTGTATGTGTATTTTTTTAAATTTGGTATGTGGGTTCTAGTTAATGGGATCTCCAGCTGTTGTTTTAATTTTTACCTAACCCGCCATGTTAAACTTCCCTATCCCAAGCGTGATGTACACAACTTCCTTACTTCTCGAGTGATGTAAAGTTGAAAAAAACTCACTCGGTGATGTAATGAAACCCATTTAAATAACATTGAGTGGATAACATAAAAAATATACCTCTATGGATCCAACGACGTTCAACGCTAGAAATCAGCTGTGTGTTTGAATTTTATTGTTATGCTTTGAAGAATTTTCCTAACCTAGCTTTTGTTTGTAAATGAACGTTACTGTTAGAAGATGAGTGAAATTGATAATGAAGCATATTGCTCGTAACCTCCTGAATATTGTTGGGTCAGGTAAAATCTTGTACGTTACACGTTACGCAAGAGCGTGTTTACATCACTTCGGTGAATTATGCAACTCGCCTTCGCTCGTTGCACAACATTCACCTGCGTGATGTAAAAACGCTCTTACTACACTTGTAATGTAAATAGCTATTTCGGTATTCCTTTATTTTTAAAGGTAATTTTTCCATACAAACCCACAAAATGACGGAAAATTGGATTTTTACAAAAACGGGTCAAGCTATTTTGATTGAAATTTAGTATATTATAACCTTTTAAGCTCGAAACAAAATAGCACAACCCTCCAATACTTTTAAAATTCATAAAAAATAATTGCTACGGTGATTTCCCCCATAAAATATCATAGTTACTCCCACCTAGGCTTTGGCCTACCCATTGTAAGGGTTGTTGACAAGGTAAAGGGAGAAAGTATGTGTCGGATTGCTGATACCATTTGTTTCAATATTGTTTGGTGAATGCACTCAACACATCTTATCACAGTTCTTAAAAAAAACATTAAATATTAGAAAAATCCTCAAACTTGCTAGACAATCAATAAAAGGTTAAATTACCTATGTCCGCCGGTCGATCCTGTAGAATCTTATTGCAGGATATGCATTTCGGCGACGTTAAATCGCCATCATCAGTCCTTAATATAAGAGCTTGATCTTCCCCATTAGGTGCGTCTTAAAGTTTTGAAAATACGTACACGAATTTTACACATGACGAAACACATAAATACATGGTAGGCTTACTTTTTACTTTTACTGCGGACATAAAATAAACGCGCGTCGGTCGTGTGTCGAAACTCGACTGGAGTCAGATTTTACTTGCAGAGTTGACCTTTGTCCTGTCTCTGACCTTTGTAGCTACAGGTGGTGTTTCATTCAACTTTAACAATGCTTCGAATAATATGTTGGATTGTAGTGTACTTTTATCATTCAGAAGGTTGTGGGGGGTGGTTTTTGAGGCTTTGTAAATTTCATATTGCTCTAATGATGTAATTAATCGACTTTTTCTACAAACATGTAAAGGTGCTTTCTCATCCTTCACTCATATTTGGGTTAAAATATGCACATATTGGCGTCACTGGCGTCCCCATCTTAAATAATTGATTGATTGACTTTAATAATTTACTTTGAAATGGCGAACATACCAATGTAGGTATTTTAAGCCAAGAATTAATGGAGATGAGTGTAGGATGAGTGGCCCAAACTTTTAATTTTGAAGGGACTAAGGCCGACATATTCCTTAGACACAGATGTTAATTAATAGCCAATACAGCAAAAGGCAACTAAGGGGCCTAAGGGGGTTAATAGGGGAATTCGAACCACATTTTTTCCTTGTAATTAACGAATTAGTCTAATTATCAGGGTAATAAAAACTGATAACATGTGTGATAAATTAAATGTTAAATTTTTAACCTCCTTGATACAGTATTAACATTCTGATAGACGGATGGAAAATAAGGTTTTTTTTAAATTTGATTTCAAAACTATTTACAAACACTAATATTGATATAATGATATAGTGATGTAACACTTTTATCAAACTACGACTGAAATACTTAACACACCATTTTATGGAACATAACCTATAATTTAATAATTTAATTTCATATTTTTTCATAATTTATTTACCACTCTTTTTATGATTAATCTGTTTGATCATTGTATCGATGGTCCAAAAATAACTCTAGGGGGAGGGGGAGGGCGTTTGATTATGTTGTATCGGTGGTCTAAAAATAACTCATGAGAGGGGGGCCCAAAAAATAAGTTTGCAGGGGGGCCCGTAAAAATTTTTTACGCCACTGGGAAGGTGTTCTTTAAATCTCTTAATAAATGGTCTGTAAGTCTGTCCAATATATAACTTATTACATTCATTGCATGTTATCTTGTACACTCCCGATTTTTCACTCAGGTTTTTATCGCTTTGTTGGGCTTAGAGGAGATTTTGGACGTTATTGCCAAAATCATACGCCCACAGCAACAGATACAACCATCCACGAAACCTCCCACACCCTATAGCTCATAAATTGGCAGCTTACAATAGCTTTGTTTATATATTGCTATCAGTACCACTTAGCCCCGTAAACTTCGAGAACGAGAGAAATATCGTCAAATATATAGCTGTCAAAAATGGGTTTAATCCTAACATAATCGACACATTAATTAGCAAACATCGAAAGAAAATTTTTACAGAGACTGCAGATCCAAGGCCTAAAATAAAAACAGAATTTGTCTCAGTTAAATATGGAGAAAAGATCCCCCACACCCTAAAAAGTGAAATAAAAAAACATGGCAAAACTGTAGCATTTAGAACATCCAATAACGTCCAAAATCTCCTCAAACCTAGAGCCCAACAAAGCGATAAAAACCTGAGTGAAAAGTCGGGAGTGTACAAGATAACATGCAATGACTGTAATAAGTTCTATATTGGACAGACTGGCAGACCATTTATTTATTAAGAGATTTAAAGAAAACCTTCCCAAAAATAGTTTAACACAACAATCCAATTTTTCCGAGCACCTAGTCAATAGTAATCACAGTTATTCCAGCTTGAATGAGAATTTAAAACCTTTACACGTTTGTAGAAAAAGTCGATATATGACATCATTAGAGCAATATGAAATTTGCAAAGCCTCAAAAACCATCCCCCACAACCTTCTGAATGATAAAAGTACACTACAATCCAACATATTATTCGAAGCATTGTTAAAGTTGAATGAAACGCCACCTGTAGCTACAAAAGACAGAGACAGGACAAAGGTAAACTCTGCAAGTTAAGTCTGACTCCAGTCGAGACTCGACACACGACCGACGCGCGTCCATTTTATGTCCGCAGTAAAAGTAAAAAGTAGGTCTACCATGTATTTATGTGTTTCGTCATGTGTAAAATTCGTGTACGTGTTTTCAAAACTTTAAGACGCACCTAATGGGGAAGATCAAGCTCTTATATTAAGGACTGATGATGGCGATTTAACGTCGCCGAAATGCATATCCTGCAATAAGATTCTACAGGATCGACCGGCGGACACAGGTAATTTAACCTTTTATTGGTTGTCAACCGATCCGGAACAACAACAAACAACATAAAATGAAGTTGCTAGACAACATAATTCTACCAATAAGCTAAGCTTTTCTAATAAAAAAAGGTTGATTTTGTAAAGTGGTGTGTTTGTTGTTTTTAAGTTTGAAAGAATACTGTGATGAATATCGAATGTATAGTTGTTACAACAGTAAGCCTAACATCTAGAACATCAGGATTTATTAATGAACATATTATTATCATTTGCATTATATTGTCTGCATTACAGTTGGATTGTTTTTGACCACTATCTTTTGCCCTAGGGATCAGTAAGTCGGTTAGTTTAAGGCCTTCATTTCCTACCAATCTTCGCTCCAGTAAAGTCCATGAAATTCAACATTGACAACCTTAAATTGGAAACCTGCAACAACAAACATTGTAAATATTGCATCATCCCTCTGGGGTTCAACATGGATGACATAGGTTAATAATTTAAATGAATTTGTGTGCATATAAGATACTGTGGTTCTTCACTACCTTGTCCAATGTGAACTTGTAGATGAGGCTTGTTCTTGATTTAAATCAGTTTATACAAACTTAAACCCTCTTCAACAGGGCCCATTTTATAAAGCGGCCCTGAGCCTTCCACAACATTAAGCGTGGTGGCATTCCATGGGCACAAGCTGCAATCCACCTACTTGAAATCATCCAGCCAGCCGCTTGGGTTCGATACACCAAGCATGCCATTGTAGCCTGGGGTTCTTGGTCGCCCTCCTGACATCACAGCTACAGGCTGAGGCTCATACGCCTCTCATCCTAGTAGGCTGGTATGGGGCCAGCCTGGCCGTCGTTGCCATCTAGGTCTTACGTGACCTCTTTTCGTAGCTACTACAGTCATGACTTGCACTCCCAATTAATTGGTAGCCGCTGTCGTTTCACACGCAGATCCCTGTCGGTGCTGTCGTCTGACCCCCGTCACTGCCCCTTCCACTGCATGAGCCGTATTGGAGGTTCACACGCATTAATTATTGCTCCACCAATGAACTACAGTATCATGATTGCTCGGCACTAAGAAACGAACCGCAATGAGTTTTATGAGAACTCCGACAGCGAGTTTAAGTTCAAGTTGTCGGTTTATATTACTCACACCGCAATACCGTCTTTGGTACGGATTTTCAGCCTAAGGATCTTCGTGTTTATCAAGTGTAGAAAATATCATCCAAGTCCTAAGACCCATAGCTAAGCCCTAGCTTTCGAACGCATGTGCTGGTGACCCAAAACGATATAAAACTCTGTTAAGATTTATTTCACAAAAATACAGTATAAATAACTCACATTCTACACTTGGTTTTTACCAAACGTAGCAGTTTAGCATGCCTATGTTTTAACCGGCGATGGTTGAAACATATGCTAGACTTCTAACCTCTAACCTCAGCTAGGGGTTTGCTTATGGTTACGCCAGGCTATTGCAAGACTAGCTTACCCCCTCAAACAGGCACGTTAAAACTTACCAAGACTAGATTAACAGATTTGCATAGGTACTTTAAACATAAAAATTTCTGAAACGAAATTCTCTAAAACCTTCGAAGTTTTATGAGTACAGTATTACTCATAACTGTGGTACAAAGTCTTCACACAGTAGATCCGTACATTAGATTTACGCGAAATATACTTCTGTACAACATATATTCAGAAAGTTAAATTTACCTAAGTAATTATCGTTACTTTCACTAGTCGTACCACTCGTGTTTATTTTTAACACAATGTCTACACCTTTACGTGGTTCCATTACAACTTAACCGTAATTTGCTGCATAAATTCTTACCAGCTTCCACTCCAGCTCATTGCTCATCAACTCCTCGTCAAATATGAAGACTGTCTTCTCCTGTGCGGTTTTCATTTCTTCAGTTATTTTCTGTTTTTGGTTTAGTCTGACTAGGCTGTACGAACGGTCGTTATATTTGGTATGTAAATACACCACTTTCACGACTAAATCGCATGCAAATCTTTTAACACTGAAGAGGTATCCATTTGGCCCCTTTACGATTGTCTCAAATGATGACTTTCCCTCATACCTTTCCCAATATACCTCATAACATTCCATACTGTAATCATTATTCTCAATGTTAACATGCTTCGAAAACAGTTTTCCTTCAGACAAATCCCGGTTTTCTGTAAAATAGTAACACAGTTATGGTATTTGGTGGGATCATATTGGTTTGACATAAGACTGACTTTTAGTGACTTTCCTATAGGGAATAATATATTAATGTAGGTCTCATGGTGAGACTAAGACCTGGGTTTTAATTTTTCGTTTTGATGTCCCAGAAGCCAAAAACGCTATCCTTTCAATTGCATATGAATATATATGCTTTATTGTTGGGGGAGGTTATAGAGAAAAATAGTTTTTTTACGATTTTTAACCATAAAACATAAACTTTGGAATTGCATTCCAAAATATTTTGTTGCGCGTACAAAAAAATAATTTGGTAAACTGAAGCATTGTTGTAGAACAATAAATTAATGATCCTACAAAACTATAAATTAGAAAATCCTATGTTAGCCTACTCTCATAGGAAATAAAAAATCTGTTATAGTTTGATTGTTTAGGTTGTTTTGTTTATTTGATATCATATATATACATATGCCGTCATCACTGTACGCGATTCACTTACTTGTGATATCACAGACGAAATGAAATTCAGGAATGAAAAAATATAGGGTTTAATTTAAAACACAAAAATGAGGTTGTGTTCTTTACCAATTCAAACAACAAACTAAACATGTTTACATTATTCATAAAACAACTAAAACACATGCAAATAGCTTATGAAAACAAAACAGACTTAAGCAATAAGTAAAACCAGTCTCTCAGCAAAAAGTGATTTTAAATATATATTGAAGTTTTAACCAATGACTTATAATAGTCATATAACGGCACATATTAAAACGTGACAGGGTTTTTTTTATTTCACGATTCTGAATCAACCACTAGACGGATTTTTAAGGTTTTTGTGTTAAAATAAAGATAATTTTGAGTACTAGGGAATGTTGAAGCCAACATTTTAGTTTAGGGTTTCAGTTTTTTAGAAAATAAGTTTACATTTTTAAAAAGTCTAGCAGCCGACGCCAACATTATAGTTTGGCTTTTTGTACTGTATAAAACTATTTGCTTAACGTAACAGCTGTAAACATGTTTGTGACACAAATTCAGCATTTGGATAGAAATGAAAGACATACGTAGGATTGACTTATTTATACTATGTGTAATGCTTTAATAATACGTTCATTTATTCGGTAAGGGGATGACAGATTATTCTAAAATACATCGTAAATATTTTATAATCTAATATTTTTTTTAGAGCAGTCTTTAAACTCTTGGGTTTGTTTTAGTGCAATAAAATTTGTTTGAACTAACAGCTGGATGGATATAAAAATATTCTATGGAACTAGGAGGTTATTTAATTTAGTCATTGATTATAGGAAATAAGTAAGATTAGTAGGGATTAGGTAGACAGTAGAGATAAGGAAACCCTTTGCCGTATACAAATCGAGGCTCTGCCCACGACTCTTCAAAGAAAAGCCTATGCAAATTATTTTCGAGATTTATTCTGAGATAAACAAATGGATGACAGAGTTATACGATTTTATCATTGACCTAGGATACTGCAAGTAGGCCTATAATAACTATCCTTTTGTCAAATCCAAAACGTTGGCGTGTGTTTATGTGTGGCTACGTTTGGGTGCGCTGATGTACGCATAATGTCGATTTTATTTTTTAACTAATTATCTTATAGTTTGGATAAAGAAATGTGGGAAATGTACATAGATTCAATGAGGGTGGGTAATTATCACAGATATTAAAACGGATAATAGTATGGATAGTAAACATAGAAAAATTACGTCACTAGCTTACTTGCGTGTGTACTTTTTTCAAATTCCTCTACAAAATATGACAAGAGATTTTTTTTCAAATGAATGTTATTTCAACTGAACATCTCTTTCAAAACAAACTATCTGCTACTTTTTTTTAATTTTCTTCGTTTACTAATTTAATTATCAATAATTAATGCAGTGAAATCGATGCAAAGGATAGGTATGGATGATTTATTTAATAATGTCACAATATGTTGGCATACCAAATCTTTGGTTGGTAATTCAAATGTCAACAGTTGTAGTAGGTCACTAGAAAACTCTCCAACAAGCTGCAGGTTGTCAGTAGATACTGAATTGGATTCATTTCATACCATAATATCCCAGTAGTGTATAGTTCAGAAACTTGGGCACTGACCAAAGAACCGAAAAACCCTATTGCTGGGTTTGAGAAATAGAGTGAAGATAAAATATACGGGCTATTTATAATAATGGAGGTTTAGATACGAATGAACAGAGAGCTAAGAGGAATATTTAAATACCTAGATATGCGTGGAGGAGAGAAGATACATAAAATTTTAAAATCTTACCAATGAGTACCACAAATTAGATGACCCCTTGGAGGACCAAGCAATGAAAGACTTCTCCAGACTGGGATCAAACATTAGAACAGGCAAGGGATAGAAGATAATGGGAGGCCAAAATCCTCTTAAGGTTTCAGTGTCCATAGGTAAAATAAGGTAGGCCTACAGTTAGTGATAATATGCATTTAAAGGTGGTATGTAGCTGTACTTTAAACCAGTGTGTGTGAATCGACCGCAAATCTCACTTCAAGGTTATTAAATCGACACAATTGTAGTTTTTACTGTAAAATTATCGGATTTAAATGCATATCGTATATGCCTATAATCAGACGAAAGAATTAGATGGTCACGTCGTATTAACAAGACATTTCCTATATTAAGTCTGCCAGAATTTTTCTTTATGCGTGTAAACTAGCAGTTCCAATTGACTACTTGATTCCCGTACGTAGGACGGGCTAACAGCTAGTTAAGATAATAACTTTTCAATGAAAACATACTTTAGTATTACCTTTACTGTGGTGGTAAACCTAACCTCATTAAAATTTATTTGATTTAAAAAGGAAAAATCTTACATTTATAGGTGAATATTCTAAAAAATATATAATCAAGTAAACATAAATTTTCGTTGTACAAGAAGAAATTTAGAATACTTAAGAAAATACTTTACGTCAGACTGCAGCAAAAACAGCGGTTTTTAATCCATGCGTTTCGGGTCTAAAGTAGCATTTTTAGCCTCTAGGGAGTAAAACGTGTTTTTAGCCCCTAGAGAGTAAAAGTCAGCTGTTGTCAACTCAGTGATAAATTTTGATTGTTAACAACCACATACCGAAAGTATATATGGATTGTTTAATTGATTTTAGCGTGTTGTTGTATTGTTGTATTGTAAATAGTTCGACATGTTGATAGTATACAGTACGTACACTAACACAATTGTAATCGACACGTATGAATCGCTTACAAAACAACTGCTCGTTTCAATAGCGAATTAAATTGAAAACAAGTTAGTAGTTTCGAGAGGTTATCTTTAAATAACAACTGTTGTAGTTTTGTAACATAGTTTGTTCGAATAATTGTGCGATATGACAAAACATACAGTTCATCACATGGGAAAAAAGTGTCTTTCCAAACCTCATTTCCCGACTTCCGCTTCGCCTCGATCGTTAAACTTGAGGTCGGGTCGAAAAAAGTCACTTTACGCCCTAGTGATAAAAATAGTTACACTATTAAATCGAGTATCTCAATTCATATATCTTATAATACGGTAAATAAAGATCAGTATTTATAGTACGTGCTTGCAAAACTTACCAGTTTTGGGGTCCGAGGACACGTCTATTCCATTCTGTAAAACAATTAATTTATTAAGTTAAGAAACTTGTATAATCACGTCCGTATTTTTTATAAGAAATGATTCTCGCTTATCAAACAAACATTCAACATATGTCCGTTATTGCGACAACTCGAGCAAGAATGATCCGATTATGATAAAATGTAGTACAAACGTGAACACCTACGTTTATTCGAACGGGTTTGCGATTGGACAGGGCCTTTTGGGTTTTATGGGGGAAAATTGGTTTTCCCCATTTTTGTCTCTAAAAACATACAATTTCACAATTTATTTCCAAACCATTTTGTAGAACTTAAAAAGAAATAATTTTGTATATTGAAACGTTGTTGTATGCCTAACGGTTACGGAGATAATTTAAAAATCCCCAAGATATTCTTATCGAGAATAACCAAACTGTTGTAGTTTGCTTGTTTATGGATATGTTACACTCAATCTCCGAATTCGGACAATGTCCGAAATTTCTACCCACTCCGCGATGTGGATAGTGTGAAATACCCACGTCGCGGAATGAGCATTTTATTTCGGACATTGGCCGAAATGAAATGCCCAGACCGCGTTGTGGGTAAACTGATTTACTCAAACGCCGAAGTCAAAACCTTCTTCGGCAATTGAGTAAATCCAAAATACCCACAACGCGATGTGAGCAAATGTTATTGCCCACGTCGGGTTGTGGGTATTTCTAGTTTGCGCAAACGCCGAATAGCCTGTATAAACTACCGTATACCAAAAAATCTACCTACATAAAATCCACAATGTAAAATAAATACAATTTATGTTTGTGATTATTATTTAATGTAAAATAACATTTTAGAAAATACAAGAAAACTGCAAATTACTGAATAGGAAGAAATATAAAAAGGCCCATTACACATACATTGAAATGTTTTTCCGCTTTACAAAAATAGAAGTAACCTTAAAATACCCATTATTACACAGTTCTTGTTACAGTTTTTTTTTTTTTTTTACTTATTGGCACAAGAGGTGCTGCCATGGCATTTGGAATTGCATTTCACGTTTAACTTTATACATTTACATGATTTAGTCAAACAGTTCTTTTTGCAACCACATCTTATGAAACCTTGTTTGGATCCAGATGACATCATCGCTTCTTTTCTTACGTTAACTTGGTCATCGGGTACATCCTCGGGGCGAAGAAATTTATTTGGTGCCACCTGAAATTGGTTTCTCGCAAACTGTTTGTCCATAACCCCATGCCTTGTGCCAAGAGTGTAGTAATCATTGGCCTTATTTACAACAACTGCCATTACATTTCTAGGAGCTAGTCGTCCCCGGTCGACGTCAGGAATGTTCACCAATACGTTGTCTCCAACCGCAACTGGGGTTAGTTTTTTTTCTGTTGTGTTTAACATTTTTTCTGCCTGGATAGTTTGAGACGTTACACACTTTTCCCGTGTAGTATCAATGGCGGCTTTTCTTGAGCAGAGAGTGCACAAAGGTAAGTCTAACTGTTCCCTATCCACGTCTTCATTATGGATGTGCTGCCCACATTCAAAACAGTTGCTTCCTTTGTCGCAATCATTGTCACATTGTGAAATTATTTCGATTGACGTAGATTCTTGTTCTCCATGTTTGTTGTTGTTTACGATCGTTGGCCAGACTTCTGGTGTAGTTTCATCCATAGGAGTTTCCTTTTCGTTCTCTACTTCAATCAAACTGCTTTCTAGCTTAGAGAGCTCATATTCAAGTTCTTCCTCGGTTGTTATTATCTTCACGACTTCTGATGTCAAAGGAGAATCTATTAGTCCATTTCTCTGAGGTGCGCTGAACGGGTTTCTCTTAATACCCCTGTGTTAACTGTTGTTCTTAGTATTTTGTATGATCTTGAGGCCATTTGCCCAGCCAGAGGTGTTGTTGTCAGCCATCCAAGCAACAAGACTATCTCTTACGTCTTGATTGGCTCGTTCGACAGACCCTTGGCTCTGTGAGTGTCTTGGTTTTCCGTGTACTAGTTTAATGGCACTCCATTTACGGGCTAGGTTCTCGATTACCTGAAAAACCGAACCATTTCTAATTAACCCCCTTGATTATACGATTGAAGCCAACACAATATTATGATATTATAAACCATCGCAATAGATAGCCGGAATGACAAATTACTTTTATTTATTTTATTTACAGATTTTTGAAACTTGTTTTGACATTAAAAACCTGAAATGATAAAAATTAAATTATTTTTTCAGTACGACGATTTTGAACCAAACAGGTGGAACGCCATGTCATCAGACGGGGAAGAAGCTAGTTTTAATTATTTTATAAGGTATTATTTGAAAAAAAAATATACGTCTAATAACACTAGTAGGCCTAATAATATATTAACACTTATACTGTTGAATCATAAGACGTATAATTTGTTTGTTTTTCAGATGATTTAATAACACGTACGATGCTGACCAAGATATTATTCATAGATGTTGTTAGCACTTTGTTTTGTTTTACTCACCCGGTTGCAAAATTCCCGCCCATTGTCGCTGTGTAGAATGTATGGAGCCCCAAATAAACAGAATATGTCCAGAAGGACGTCGGATACTTCGTCAGCGGTTTTCGTTTTCAAGGGACGCAAAACAACAAATTTGGTGAGATGATCTTGATAATTAAGGATGAACTTATATTCACCGTCAGGCTCTGATTGCATGTCAATGAGATCCACCTTAAATCAGAAATAAGACATGCATTAGTTTGTAACAGTCCTCTTTCAGTTTTACTATTTAATTCTTTTTTATCTACGGTTTTATGTTTTGTGCGGTTATTGGTTACTGAGGAAATTTAATAAATTGAAAATTCAAAGTTTCCATATTATTCTTATGAAGAATTTAGTATACTGTTGTAGTTTGCTTGTTTTTGGATATATTTTGATCGATCTTGGCAAATTAATTTATTTTATACTAAGCTATTCATATTTCACTACAAACACATTATATTACACTTATATAGCAGCAAACATAGGTAGTTGAAACAAATTTTATTTAAATAGGTTAAATTTAAAATCCAATACTGGTAAATGGAAATTTGTATAGTCTGCAAGTTTGCTGCGCTGGGGGTATTTGTTAATTGTAATATAAAAAAAAATCCAATCAAAATATAGATAATTTCACTGTAACTTATACAGTACAACAATTACTTGTCAGTAAAATAATACACATAATATTATTATGTTATATGAATATAATGATAATATTATGAACTAGGTTTATAAATAAAAAATTCTAGGCCTATATTTATCTAAAATCGAAAATTGTTTCGTAAGGATTAATCGTTCTGGTCGTCCCCCAAAGACAAGCGATAATCTAAATATGAAGAGCATTTTAGATCGATATGTGCGGCTCTAGCCTACATCCATAGGTAGAGAAGTTTGCCGCTGCGCGTGCATTGGTGCGGAGTCCAGTCTTTAGTAGTGTCGTGTCGGTGTGGCGTGTAGAAGATAGTGACCCGCTACACTCCCGTCCACCCCCCCCCATAACCGACCACCGACCCCCAAATCGCAACTACCCCGCGGGTGATAAAAGACTTAGTACGTTGCCAGTTTTGATAAATTTGTTATTGAGATTAAGACATACTGTAAAACAATTCGCTAAACATTCCATGAGCTCGAGCATTATTCTAAAGTCACTCTAATTAAGCAAAAGGATTAAAAAATTAAATTAATCTTACCTGACATCGTGAATTCAATGCTGTCGTAATGATGGGTTTGACGACCAGTCCTTTACTTTGAGATTTTTTCTTCAGTGAGCAAGGTTCGCACATATCCAAGTATATTTTAATCACCTCTCTGGTAATGTTGCAAAATTTCTTTTTAAGCTCTACTTCCATGGCTTTCTCTTTCTTATGACCGACACGTAAGTGAGCTGAATGAATTGTGTCATACATTTGATCAATGCGACAAAAATATTTTATATCTGTCATTTCACCAGTTGTTTTTTCAATTAACATTTCTTTGTCACCAATGTTTATGACATCGAAGCGGTTGATTCGGCGATTATCTTTCGATGATAATGACTGTCCATTTCTCCTCTTATCTTTCGCCTCCTTAACTTCACCAATGATTTCTTCATATCTTTGTTCTTCAATTAAGAAATTGCGACTTGTAAGGCCATCCTTCTTTGACATCAGCTCCTCCGGTTTAGTGTTGAATGAATCCTTCATTTCACATAACATCACAAAACAATATCTCACAAGAGGTAATCACTGAACATATATTATCTTGAACACATGCGTATCAACTACAGGTCAGCAGAAACTAAAACATAATGCAGATCCGTCCATCCTAATCGCAAATAGTGCAAATGGTGGGGGTGAAATGTCTGAACGTGAATTCGGCGTTTGCGCAAACTAGAAATACCCACAACCCGACGTGGGCAATCCCTCTTGCTCACATCGCGTTGTGGGTATTTTTCAGAGAAGAACGTTTTGACTTCGGCATTTGAGTAAATCAATTTACCCACATCGCGGTCTGGGCATTTCACTTCGGCCAATGTCCGAATAAAATGCTCACTCCGCGACGTGGGTATTTCGCACTTTCCACATCGCGGAGTGGGTAGAAATTTCGGACATTGTCCGAATTCGGAGATTGAGTGTAACAGATATATTTTAATCAAATTTAGAAGTTCTGTTTATTTCTTACTAAGCTATCAACATATCAATAAAAATTACACCTTTAAAACCTTCTTTGTAGCAGCAAACTCATTAACAATCAATGTCATTTATATAAGAAATGAATATGACAATTTTAATGGAATACTCTTATTTTAGTAAAAGTCCAGCCAGGTAAATGGAAATTCGCTTAGTCTGCAGGTTTCCTGCGGCTGGGGTATTTTTTTCATCAGATTGAGTGGTTTTGAACTGAACCCGGGTCGACTTTCAATGAATTCTCCTTATAAAAAACCTGACCTTAAAACAGGACTGGGTTCAAAGAATTTGTATTAATCTAATATCCTCTAAGGTCAACTTTACTGTTGAAAAGGTCACAAATAAAATTGTATGTTACATTCAGTAAAAAAAAAAAAATTACTGATGAATTACTACAGTACAGGCTGGGATACTTAAAGCTGGTTTAGATTAGATTCAAATCCATACGGTGCCCACCAATCTGTGTGTGTCAAAAGGTGATGGATAACTGTAAAAATAATTAAAGTACAGATTTTTATTTTTTTGTAAAAAAAATAAAACAATTTTCCGCCGTAAACCAGATCAGAGTAACCATAAATAAACCGCTGACCTTTTTCAGAATACCCTCCAAAGAGTAGGCGATGAGTTTATTCACTAATACAGGTGTTATGTTGGATACCTTCTGATGTATAAAAACAAAAGCGTAATGTTTTGTCGAGAAAAGGAGTAAACATTATTTGCTTGCTATAATGGACAATTATAGCCTAATGGACAAGTTATTTATAAATAAAAAACTTACCTGCCACTTCATCCTCCCGCCATAATAGGCAGATTTGGTGTCTACCATGCTAATAATCTCTTTACTTTGACACTCAACACAAACGTCATAACGGCACCAATTTTCCGTTTGAGTAAATTTTTCGTCTTGAGTTATGAAAGTGAAATATGTTTTCCCACCATTTTTCTGAACATAAGTATACATCCTTTTTGTTTTCTCAGACAGATTGTATTCATTGAACGTTTCGGGTGACGAGCAGTCAATAGAGGTTATCGAAACAACGTGCGTTCCATCCACTTTTTGTACACGTGTAGTAAATTTACCATCAGCAATCTTAAAGCAAGTCATCAAGAACGTGCTTTCATTCTCCTTACTATAATTTATTAGTGAGTTGTGTTTTCTTACACCATCTCTGACTTGGTCATCCAAATGTATGTTTTTTTCTGTAAACAATACAAATATTTAATAGCAGGATTTGGATATGCATGAGTGTATGTACATATTCGAACAAGGAGTTTTTTTTTATTTTAAGTACCATATAATCTATACTATTATATAAAAATTTAATGGTGTCTGTCTGTATGTTTATTGCTAATAGGCGCATAAACTACTGAATCGACTGGGCTCAAATTTTACAAAAATATAGTTACCATACCAAGGATGGTCATAGGACTATCCACACTTCGGTACTGACCGTGGGCTTTGCCCCTTTAGTTTTAAAAGTTCTGAGGTGAGGATTTCAAAAGTAAATATTGATTGGTCTCCATGGCTGCTATGAGAACATTCAATGTTTAAATTTGTATTTCAATGTAAACAAGAACTGCCAAATTGCTTATTTCACAATTTCAGGCAGCTGATCCGAAAAAATAAATCTCATGTACTAAAAAAACCTTTGCAAAACTTACGACAGCTAGCCTGGCCATACTACTTGACCGAATTACGCGCGGTTGGTACTAAATGCAAGATATTTTCCTGTAGATGTGCAGAATCCCTTTATAAATTAAAATAGGCTCAACAATAAGCACGAAAAATGAATTTGAAATTTAAAAAAAATAGCATGGGTCTTATGGGTTGTTATGCTGGTGACAAAATAACTAAACAGAAAATTTAAACAAATTTCAATCACATGTTTTATTTAGAGTGTGGGGGGAAAATGGAGAAGTCTATCGATCGTCTGTACATTACATATTTTTTTGCGAGTTTTCAACCACTAGACAGATGATTTCTAATTTACTATATTAACTATTTTACGGAGTCGTTCAAAGAAGGAATTTTCTGTGGCAGTTAGATTAATGTATTCGCCTGCAATACTTAAATGATATGGGAAGGGAGGGAAACAGGTCCACGACGCTGGAAGTGGTAGAGGAAGTCGTAAAGGCAAGCAGTGCGGTGTGTGGGAACCGTTTGTGGCAGTTGGATTATCGTATCTGCAATACTTAAATCACAGACAATATAATACAGTACTTTAATGCAGACGGTCAGCTGGATCTGCGCTAGGCGCTGTTTCATGATGCGGCTGTATTGCCGCGCCACTGTAGCGGAAGACGCGAAGCGTTTCCTCCTCGAGTGGCGCCGTGGGATTCTATTTAAATTTGAATGAACGCGCTTTTAATGAGATATTTCTCGAAAACTATTTAAGATATCTTTATGAAACTTGGTATACAGTTTTAATAAGTCATAATGTATTTAAGGAAAAATAATCATTAAAAAATATGATCCTGTTTCAAAATTGCTGTGTTTTAGCAAATTTCCCATACATAGAATAAGCTATTACCGTAGTAAAACCTGGACCTGGGACGGTAGTGGCGAACTACCGGTTTAACGACACTTTGAGCGTTTTTTTACGGTGAGTGCCAACATCTATATGGCGTTAAAAAAGTCTCACAGGAATCCGCCCCACTGGGTCTCAAAGTTTCAATGTAATCCTGATGGAAGCAGTATTTGACACATAAACAAAGACATAGGCCTATGATCAGCTGTTGACTTTTAAATGCAGTAGATAAAGAAATAGCTGTTAGGATTATTCCACAGATATTAGAACAGAAACGGTATGGATTAAAAATATAATCAAATGACGACACTAGCTTGAGGTCAGTGACGTAGGAAGTGGCGAAGGAAGTAGTAAAGGTGAGCAGTCTGGAGTGTGGAAACTGTTTATGACGATTAGTTTTAGGTATCTGCATTCCTAAAATTCTTTGGGAAGGGAGGAAAACGGGTCCGCGACGTAAGAAGTGGTGAAGGAAGTAGTCAAGGCAAGCTGTCCGGAGTGTGGGAACTGTTTATGACTATTAGATTAAGGTATCTGCAATCCTAAAATGCTATTGGAAGGGAAGGAAACAGGTACGCGACGTAGAAAGTGGTGAAGGAAGTAGTCAAGGCGAGCTGTCCGGAGTGTGGAAACTCTTTATGACGATTAGATTAAGGTATCTGCATTCCTAAAATTCTATGGGGAGGGAGGAAAACAGGTCGGTGACGTAGGAAGTGGTGAAGGAAGTAGTCAAGGCGAGCTGTCCGGAGTGTGGGAACTGTTTATGACTATTAGATTAAGGTATCTGCAATCCTAAAATGCTATTGGAAGGGAAGCAAACAGGTACGACGGAGGAAGTGGTGAAGGAAGTAGTAAAGGCGAGCTGTTCGGGGTATGGGATATGTTTATGGCCATAAGATTAAGGTATTTGCAATCCTAAAATTTTGTTGGAAGGGAGGAAAACAGGTCCGCGACGTAGGAAGTAGTGAAGAAAGTAGTCAAAGCGACCTGTCCGGAGTGTGGAAACTGTTTATGACGATTAGATTAAGGTATCTACAATCCAAAAATGCTATTGGAAAGGGAGGGAAACAGGTCGGTGACGTAGGAAGTGGTGAAGGAAGTAGTCAAAGCGACCTGTCCGGAGTGTGGAAACTGTTTATGACCAATAGATTAGGGTATTTGCAATCCAATAATGCTATGGAAATGGAGGGAAACAGGTCAGTGACGTAGGAAGTGGAGAAGGAATTAGTAAAGGCGAGTTGTTCGGAGTGTGGGAACAGTTTATGACGATTAGATTAAGGTATCTGCAATCCTAAAATGCCAATGAAAGGGAGGGAAACAGGTCCGTGACGTTGGAAGTGGTGAAGGAAGTAGTAAAGGCGAGCTGTAAGGAGTGTGGTTTTCGTTTATGACCAGTAGATTAAGGTATTTGCAATCCAATAATGCTAAAGGAAGGGAGGGAAACAGGTCTGAGACGTAGGAAGTAGTAAAGGAAGTAGTCAAGGCGAGCTGTCTGGAGTCTGGGAACTGTTTATGACGATTAGATTAAGGTATCTACAATCTTAAAATTCTATGGGAAGAGAGGGAAGCAGGTCCGCGACGTAAGAAGAGGTGAAGGAAGTAATAAGGTGAGCAGTGTGGAGTGCGGGAACTGGAAACCGTTTGTGGCAGTTCGATTAATGTATCTGCAATGCTGAAATGCTATGAGATGGGATGGCAGCATGACCACGACATAGAAAATGGCGAAAGAAGTAGTAAAGGCTAGCAGTGAGGAGTGTGGGCAATGTTTTTGGCAATTAGATTTACGTATCTAAAATACTAAAATGCTATGGAAAGTGATGAAAGCGGGTCCACGATGTAGGAAGTGGCTTAGAAAGTTGTAAAGTATGAGTATAGTGTGACAACCGTCTGTGGCAGTTAGAATAATGTATCTTCAATCCTAAAATGCTATGAGAAGGGAAGGAAACAGGCCCCACGACGTAGGAAGTGGTTAAGGAAGTAGTAAAGGCTGGCAGTGCAGAGTGGGGGAACCGTTTGGGCATCTAGATAAAAATGTATATAATTTTTAAATTCTATGAGAAGGGAAGGAAACAGGTCTATGACGTAGGAAATGGTGAAGGAAGTATTAAGGCTTAATTTGTAATATAACCCAGTTTCAAGAACATTTTTAATAAATTACATTTTTGTTTTTATGTTGCGTTGAAGTTCTTGTGGCGAAATGCACATCAGGAATTTAATAACATCAAGAACTTCAAGGCAACATAAAACAAAAAGCTAATTTAGTAAGGCTTGCAGTGCAGAGTGTGGGAACTGTCTTTGGCAATTACATTAATGTATCTGCAATCCTAAAACGCTATGGGAAGAGAGGGAAACAGGTCCACGACGTAGGGGGTTTTGAAGGAATTTGTAAAGGTGAGCAGTGTTGGGTGTGGGAATGGATTAATGTATCTGCAATGCTAAAATGCTATGGGAAGAGACTGTAGACTGTAGGTTAAAATGATTACGAAGCACGAATCGATACATATTTCGATACATGCAATCACTTTCAATAGATATTTACAACTGATTTGACAACAGCTGATTTTTACTCCATAGAGGCTAAAAACGATTTTTCCTCACTAAAGAGTAAAAATGATACTTTAGAGCCGCAATGCAAAAAAATTAAAAAATTTAAAATTAAAATTTTAAAGCTTAAAAATTATTTAAAAACGACTGTTTTTACTGCAGTATGACAAAAACAATATAATATGAACCCTTGATGACTCCGCTCAATTTTGTGGATGCCTCGGCGAACGCCACCTAGTTAAGGCTACATCTTTTAATAGGACACGCATATTCGTTACGGAAAACTCTGACCAGGGCTATCTTCCTGAAGGTAACTTTAAGGCTAAAATCGTAGTATTCATGGAAGTGCTTTTGTGATAAAAATATTGTTTTTTTAGTGTTTATTTTTAAAAGTGTGTTTTCTTCAAGCAGCATTTTTATGACTCTCAAAATATGCTACATAGGCCTATTGGTTTGATATGGTAAAACGTTTTGTTAAATGTGTTTTAAAAATCTTTAAAAAATAACTACCCTACAACCTTGCTCGCTGCCTATAACATACTTGAACTTGAACACTTATTAATTAACTAAATATAATCAAGGCCACACTAAAAAAAACTATTTTTTTAGTGTGGCCTTGATATAATACACATACAGCTAGGAAATGGATGGACTGCTTCCCTTCCAAGGCTTCATTATTACTGTATTTAATTTTCGACGTCAATATATAATACGATGAATTTGTTTTCTAAATTCAAATGTTATTTTGCGGGGCATTGAGCCGCACAGGTTCGCTAGTATCTATCTATATATTAATAGGCAAGCATGTTTCTTTAAAACCTTTTTTCTCAGCTCGTGTGCATCGTAGGGAAAATCTACGCATACCGTTAGAAAGCTATTTTCCTGTAGGTGTGCAGAATCCCTTTATAAATTTAAATAGGCTCAAAGATAAGCGCAAAAAATGAGTTTAAAAATTTGAAAAAATTTACATGGATCTTATGCGTTGCCATGCTGGTGACGAAATAACAACGAAATATAAACAGAAAATCAAAACAAATGGAAGAAACTCCAATCACATGTTTTATTTACAGTGTGGGGTGAAACATTAACATAAGTGAGTGTAGGAACATATAGGTATAAGTGAGTACATTA